ATTTTGAAACATTATTTTTTAAAAGATGTGTAACTTTGATCATTCTTTATGCCTTTAATTATCTGATATTATTTTTACACATGTAACTTATCTCGATTACATATTTGTTTTTCATCACCCAATACTTACTAATTAACTACAAGTATCAATTAAAAAATTATTAAATTAATTAATACTATTATTTTATCACTAAATATAGAGAACATCATTTAATCATTAGATTTGAATTAAAATTGTCAATCATATATAACGAATAGATATTAAAATTGTCAATCATATATTTATTTACGTATTTGATTTTTATCTCATTTAGATTAATATATTAAATTACCAATATCAGAAGTATAGTTATTGATAGATTCAACAAAATACTAATTTTTATATAAGAATTTTTTAAAACCAATATCAAACGTGATCATTATAGTAATATGATTTTTATCCCAACTAGATTAATCATGTATTCACAAATACAATATTAATTTTTATATATTTTCAACTCAATTTAATTTCGCTGATTCAAATCCAAATTGAATTTTAACTCATGTGATATCCTTAAAAAACAATCTTTTAATTTACATCTTTAAGAATTTAAAATATTATCCCGAGCTAACTTCGGAATCAACAAACATTCCTGCGTCATGACTTATATAATTGTAGGGAAGACACTTCGCAGTACAAAATCATAGAAAGATCACTAAAGCTAATCCTACCTTTAGCTTTATATAAACATTATGATTAAATGTGATAAATTAATTAAATAATATAAAAATAACTAAAGGCTTCATAAAATATATCTCTTTTTAAAGATGGTCCATTTATTTTAACTTATTTTATAAAAAATCACTTTTTTAAAAAACTATTTTAAAACTTTTTGTGATTTTTTTGCTAAATTATATGATATTTGTTTAAACTTCTAAAAATAATTATAATTTAAAAAATAAATAAATTTCTAATTATTTTAGGGCCTGTTTGTTCCAGCTTTTTTCTTGAAAAAATGTTTATCTTTTACAAAAGGATTAATGAACATCATAAATCTTAAGCTATTGTGCAAATATTATCATAACTCATGAACTCTTGAAATATGTAAAAATTCTCATAAACTTTTAAATTTTAAGCTCCTAAAAACCACTCATTAAGTTGAAAAAAAAATTATTTTTATAATTGTGAGGTTTAGTCACATATTAATGTGGCAGTCATTCCTCCTCACCCTTGGTGATGTGTTGCTTGGTTGGAGACAAAAACAAAATCAAACATAATCAAGGCAGAAAACAAAAACATAATTCAACGAATGAACCCAGAATTGGAGCCCATAAATCAATTACATAAAAAATAAATAAATAAATAAATCAAAATCCAATGATCGAACCTAGAAATCTAATAAACTCTACCTTCTTCCGCCATTTCAAAACCCTTCTCATCAAATTAATGTGTTTTACATTTTTTTTAATGGAAACTGAATTACAATACTAATGAAAGTAAACAAAATACAACAAGAAACAAAAACCGAACAAAAAAAAACCTATTCTCTTTCATCATCTTCCGTTTCAAATTAGGACATGGATGATAATTAAAGAAGTAAAAGTTAACTTCTAAAGTGAGCTAGCTTAGCTGGATAATCTACATCCAGTTATCATCTCTAAAGACATGATTAAATTCAATTTGGTCTACCATATGGAAAAAGGATTTGGCTTGCTTAACAATATCCTAAAAGAGATAGTCTGCATCATAGTATTTTACATTGAAAATGTTTGTATTGCCTTGCAAAAAGAAATAGAGGGAATATATCTTTATAAGATTTTGAACGTGTTATTGATTTTTGGATTTGTAAACTTTTAGTTTCTCAAGTCTGTTTTAATTATTGATTTAGTTTTTTAAATTTAATTTTTGTCAATTTAATCCCTTTTGTTTTATTAAATTATCATGTGAGTAATTTTGAAACATGCATTGACTCTCAAAATAACTTAATGTGTAAAGTATATTAATAATTTTACATGTATATATAGCTAAATGAGATTAAACTGGCTTTAAATAAGTTTAATTTTTATTAATATAATCACTTATAATGTGTTTATCTTTTTTTAAAAAAATTTGAGTCTATTTTTTAACCTATATAATTATACTTTTTTCATTAATTTATATGGTTGAAATCTATATTATGTTATTCGAAATAGAAGATTTTAATAGTATAACTTATTTTTTAAACAATAAAGACTAAATCAATGACTAAAGGAAACATAAGGAATCAAATTGATATAAATTAAATTTGAGAAAGTAGATTAAAAATTAAAACAAACTTGAGGGATTAAAAGTTGCATTATCCCAAAATGATACATAGTTTCTCAACAAAGGCATAAAATGTCACTCCTAATTTTGATACTCAATTTATTCAAAAATGCAAGGAATATTTTTAGAATTTAAAATTTAAAAGTATAAAATATTTTTAATCTTTTAATAAACAATCATTGCTTCTTCTTTTTTTTCAAAAGCGTCCTTATTGAATAAATTATTTTATATTTTTTTTAGGATGTTTATTGGGATAAATATAAAAAGATAAAATTAATTTTAAAATAAATAATTACTTGATTAAGAAGTGAAATTTAATTAAAAATTTATTATATTTTTGGATGGAGGGAATATAATTTTAAAGCAAGGATGTACATAGAATGAATTCTCTATATGTAATTAATAGATAGCCATTGATCTCGGAAATGCATGTATTAAGCGTAATATGAACATTATTTTTTATGCTGCCAAAATTTTTATACAATTATTAAATTAAAATATAACATTCACATTTCTTACATTATCGATTATCGTCCGCAAGATTCGAAACTTCCACTTTATTTAATAAAAATAAGTCCTTCCTACTAAACCAGCGATGATTTTTTTTTTTGTTCTTGACAAAAAAAATTGATGGGACACAACATAAATAAAAGGGTAAAAAAAAAAAATAAATCGATCCTTGAACTATAAACATAGGAGTATATAGAATTGTGTAATATTTTTTTTAACTTTTAAAAATAATATAATATAATTTATATTATTAATAAAAGTTAACTTTATTATTATATGATTAAAAAATGACAAAAAATAATCTTAAAAATTACAAAAAATAATCAGTAAAATTTTCTTAATCATTTTTTTTTTGTATTTTTGGGTCCTTCATCATAATTTTTTAGTTTTTATTTTTTTTATAATTTTTGAAGTCCTTTTCTAATTAACTAATGCCAAAGTTAACTTTTATTAATTGAAGGGATTGAATTGTACCATTTTTAAAAGTTAAAAGGGAATCATGCACAATAAATAAGTTTAAGATCCTAAACACTCATAGAGTTATAGTCTACATGCTAATTTTCCCTTCTACTTTGAATATAATCATGGGAGAGCCACTTGAAGCAGATTCTGGCACTAAGCTCCCTGTCCCAAATTAAAGACACATTTAAGGAAGATTTAATGTTCTAAAATATAAATTTTTTTAATAAAAATAAGATTTCATCAATAATATTTTTTTAATATTACCCTTCTTATATATCTTTTTTTTTTAATATTCTTTTATCAATGGAGTATTAAGCGAATGCCATTTTTAAAAGTCTATATTTTTTTAAAAAAATAAAATTGTAAGATATACTTAATGAGCTTTATTACTATATAAAATTTTATTTAAAAATATTTTATAATTTAAGATAGAAGGATCATAAAAAAATATTTCAGTCTTTAATATAAAACGAATTAACAAACTTTACACTTATTAAAAAATGTTAGTTATAACATTGAAATTATAAAAAATTTATATCATTCTAATTTTATCCTTTTCTGTAATTAATGACTATAATTTGTCGTTCAGGAACTCAAATGATCATAAAGACATAAATGCACAAAGAATAAAATTAGAAAAAAGCATTAATTACTTTAATTTTATTTTATATTTAAGATAAAATTAGAATATTTATAAGATAGACAAGATGATAAGACTGGGATAGGAATTGAATTGAAATTCAAAAATCAAAATTGAAAATTGAACGTACTCCCAAGATTCTTGTTTAGAAACTGCTAGCGTCTAAGGGAGCTTTCAAGTTTCAAATTTAAGCAGCGCGGTGTCGAGGCCCGAGTCAATCTCAGCCCTTGATCGCCATAAGCGCAAACTTTGATCACGGTCGCCCTGAAGTAAAAGTCAAAACTGGCGCGTGACATTAAAGTTCTGGGTTTAATTGGTTGGACTGAACCCTGGCCACCACGCCAGTTGTTAATCTCGTTAAAATAAATTAATAAATATCTTTTGCCAAAAAATTTTGAAATTCAAAAAGTATATTCCTCCATATAAAAGTATAACGTATTTTTTAAAAAATTAAATATTAAAAAATATAAAATATTTTTAATCTTTTAAAATATAATAATTGTATTTTTTTAAAATATCATTATTAATAGTAATTTTATATTTATTATAAAGTGTTTAATAGAGATACATATAAAAATATAAAATTAATTTAAAAGTAGGTAACTACTTTATTAAAGATAAAATTTAATTAAAAATGACTTATATTTTTTAACGGAGGAAATACTATTATATTGAAATAATACTAATATAGTATTTGTGAACTCTATTTTTTAATTTTACAAAAAATTTTGCAACAAAAAAAGGGGCAAATTTTTTGTCACTAAGATTATATTTTTTTCATCTATATAATAAAATTATATTTTTTTCATCTATATAATTTTGTAAAATTTTGATTAAACAAAAAGGTCATTCATGTTAACAAAATAAAAATAAAATTTATAATAAAAAATGATAAATATAATTTTTAAAAAATTATTGAGATATATTTTTTAACTTTCAAATACATAAATTTTGAAAACTAAAAAATTTATATAATTTTAATTAAAAAAACCCATCTTGGTCGCGACCCACCAAGACCAAGTGTCACAAGCATGGTTCAGCCACCCTCTCTTTAGAAAATTTGGCAACATATTTAAATTGAAATTTGGCAGTGAGAGAATCCGAGAGATGTAGTAAGAGGAAAAGGAGAAAGAGATAAAGATAAACCAATAATCCAGCAACAGCTTCGCTCACGAACCAGCCTCTATTTGTTTCCGTGCTTTCTTTCTACCCACAAAAAAATAAAACTCCTGCGTGGTTTCGCATCATTCCTTTCTTCGTCTTCTTCAGGCAGGTAAAAGTTTCACAAGTTCCATGGTTTCAAAATCATTCCTGAGATATTGATTAAATAAACCTTGTGAAGAAATTATTCTCTTAAAAAAAAAAATCAAAAGAAAACTGTGTGCGGAAGTGGAGTTTGAACTTTGAAGTGCTGAGATATTGATTGAATAACTGTGTGCAGAAATGGAGTTCGCAGCAGCGAAAGCGTTGAAACCAAGTTTGCGAAGAGAACTATCTTTTCAACAGAAAACGTTTTGCGATGAAGTTTTGTGCTTGAACGGAAGCAACGGCGTCTCCGGTGAAGATTTCTCGGTGGATGACCTTCTTGACTTGTCTCACGACGAGTTTCAGCATGTGCTTGCTGAAAAGGAAAACGATTTCGAAGACGACGACGAGAAAAAAGACGGTTCCTTTGTTTCGGACGATGTAAACTCTAACTCCAGCAGCGATACCGGCACCGGCGATTCTGAGTCGGGTTTCGCAAGCGAACTCGCCGTTCCGGCAAGTTTACTTTGACAATCTTCCCGATTTTCATGTTGTTTCTAGCAAGGAAATGAAATGAAATTTGAAACCTATTTGAATATTCTACAGGCCGATGATTTAGCAGACCTTGAGTGGGTTTCTCACTTTGTCGACGATTCTCTACTAGAGTTCTCATATCCGGTTTATTCAGAGCAGTTGAAGGCGGAGAAGCACTTTGCGACGGAGCTTAGACTGGACTTAACGACGGCGAAAACTCCCCGTTTTCCGTTTAAAATTCCGGCGAAAACGAGGAGCACCAAATATCGAAAAGCCAACGCTCGTGTTTGGTCATCCAGCTTCATTCTTTTCGTTTCCCGGTCACCTCCAAAGTCTTCCTCGGCTCTCGTCTTCGCCGGGCAACCGCCGGCGATGAAGCAGAAAAAGAGGAAGCTGATGGAAGGGGAAACGAGTGGGTCCCAGATTCAGCGTCGGTGTAGTCATTGTCATGTGCAGAAGACGCCACAGTGGAGAACCGGCCCACTAGGCGCCAAAACTCTGTGTAACGCATGCGGCGTCCGGTTCAAGTCCGGCCGGCTTTTTCCAGAGTATAGACCGGCCTGTAGCCCGACTTTCTCGAGCGATTTGCACTCAAACAGCCATCGAAAAGTGCTGGAGATTAGGAGGAAGAAGGAGATGGTTGGTCCGGAGGCCGGTTTGATCCAAACACAAATGGTTCACAGCTTCTGAATGCTTCGAATTCACAAAAAGATTGTAGGCAGCTAGTAAGTAAACCGGATTGAACCCGGTTCGGTTTTTATACTATATTAGTTAACGGTCAATTTTAATTAGTGAGAATCAGCCAGGCAGGTTACAAGTAGGTATTAATTAGGAGGAGATTGATTGTTTGTATTACTTTAGAATTTAGGGAAGTTGATTTAAATTGTATTTGTTAGCGTTAGAGTAAGAGGAGAATATATATAGATAAATGAATATATGTGAGCCTTTTAATTTCAGCCATTTATTGAGTCTGGTCTTTGATATTTTATTAGTTGTATTTGAATCATTCAAGCTTGTTAAGCGTTGACTGTTGAGTGATGCCAGATTCTGTGAGGGGATATGTGATGAACTGCCTCCTCTTTATTTTGCCATCGTACTAATTTTTATTCTAAATGTTTTTCTGTTGAATTTATAAAATATTTTTAAATAAAATTAAATATATTAATAAAATTCATTAAGTATACTTTATAATTTTATTTTTAAAAATAAATATAAATATTTTAAAAATATCATTTATTTAATATTTTATTTATGAAATAATATTAAAGACAGAATATAAAGGAAAATGTAATATTAAAAAACTCATTAATAAAATCTTATTTTCTTTAAAATATTTTATATTTTAAGAAGTTGATTTTTTTTTCCTAAAGTATTTTATAAATTATTACGGAGCTCGTATTAAATTTAGTATATCACAAACATAATATTTCAATCGTCTTTTTCCATCATTTAATTTTCAAATTAGTTGTATTAATTTCGATATTTTTCCACTTTTTTATTATTTAATATCATCATTAAAAAGTGATATTTAAAAAATGACACATTGTTTGCATTATAATGGTAAATAATAAATTTAATATTTTTCATTCATTTACACGAATTAGTTAATTCACTTTTTTAATATATGCAGGATGAGATTTTTTTTTTTTTTTTTGGTTAAAGATGGGAAAGGCCGTGATTGAAGCTTTTAAAAGTCTTTTGTGTTATTGATTTGATACCACTGAACCCGTGCTAGTGCCAAATGGACTAGTCAAGTGGGCGGCAAGGCGAGGATGATATAAGTTGACCAAAGATTTTTCTTTTGCGACCATATTTTAAACTTTTTATATTTGTTCACAAATTCTTCTTTTAAAATATAATTAACATATTAAATTGATTTATATTTTGAGAAGTAAATTTCAACGTTAAAGCATAATGGTAATTATAAAAATTAATTGGCCAAAAGATACTAAAGTCTTAATTCTTTCTTAGATGAAAATAATTATTAAAATCAAAAGATTAAAAACAACAACAATTCAATTGAGTGGAATAAATTCAATATTTTAAGTTTAAAGATTTTAACATTGTGGACCAGAGAAATAAATATTAGGCCTTTGAGCTTGATAATATTTAGATTTAGATTTGTTGATTAGTATCAAATATTAGACAACTATAGCTAGAAAATATTTCAAGTTTATTCTAAAATTAAGCATGAATTAATTACATGATGATGAATTTTGAATACTTTAATTTTTATTTGATTGGTTAGATTTTAATTTGTCAATTTTAAACTATTTTAAAGCTAATAGTTAATGTAATTCACGTTTCACATCTTTCTCTCTCTCGTTCTTTTTTTTTTTGGTTACCTTCGCATATTTCTTTATTCAAAATGAAAGATAAAGTAATAAAAATAGAATTTAGGCAAATTATTGATATATAATTTTATTTCCAGTATTCAACGATGAGCGCCTATCTCTTCGTCTTCGAGATAAGCAAAGGATCTATGTGCCTGAGAAAGATGCATGCGACGCGTTGATATATTTTTTATTCAATATTAAAAAGTTTTGATATTGATTGGAAATTGATTTTTTTATTTTACCTGAAGAATAATTCCTCTAATATATTAAATGGTAGGGGATGTACTACTTCGTTTAGTTACGTCGAAATCCAACAAAAATTAAAGGCCACCATCATGTTCGAGCTGTAGGATCATGATATCCAGAGGTTGACACATACACCTTCCAAAATAAAGACCTTGATTGGCCTCTCAGTGCTGGAGGAAATAGACATTTTGAAACGTGAATTACATTAACTATTAGCTTAAAAATAGTTTAAACTTGACAAATTAAAATCTAACCAATCAAATAAAAATTAAAGTATTCAAAATTCATCATAATGTAATTAATTCATGCTTAATTTTAGAATATGGTATGGGTATATATTACTCCTTTTAAATCATAATATAAAATATTTTTTAAAAATTTTACTTAGTCTAAAATTAAAATATTGAGTAACTTTTATAATTATTTTTAATTATATTCATACTTCATGTATTATTCTTTTTGCAAAAATGTACATTAAAATTTTAATTATCATTATTAAAATATATATATATATATAACGTATTTAATGAGAGAAAATTGAAAAGATGTAAATTTTTTAAAAAATTAATGTTTCAACTAAAATTTTTCGACAACCGTGATTAATTACCATGTTACCAATGACTTATATTTTAGTTCGGGAGAACTTTTACTTTATCTCTATATATAATGTATTTTTTATAAAATTATTTCATCTTTAAATATAAAGGTTGTTAGGATATTTTTAAAAAATTAGACAGTATTTGTCTTAAAAAATAGATGAGATATTAATTGTGTATTTTACTTACTACCACCATTATATTAGTTATGACATTATTAAGGATAAAATTAAAAAATTATTATGATGTTATATGATTTCAACTAAATAATAAATTTTTATTAATATATGAGATTTTTTTTAAACACTTTATATATAGAAACCTCGTACTTTTTTACATGCAAAATATTAGATATTTTTTTTAATTTTTAGTGACACTAACCATTTTAACTACTTTTAAGTTTTTTTTAAAAAAATAAAAAATACTTTATATTTTGTTGGCTGCCCAAGGCATTACCATAATGGATAAGTATGAGACTAATCCCTCAAAAATCTAAATATTAAGGAATTATCTTCCCTCAAGTGATGTTTTTAATACACACTTTCGAGAATTACATAATACTTAATATTTGCAACCCTGAGAGTATGTTGATAATTGAATTTATTTAAAATTGTGACTCACTAACAAATAATAGCGGGCTATGTGTGCGTTCAATGGCAGAACTGTAGATATGCATAATTTAAACTTTAAGTTATGCTTAGGCATAAGTGAAGTTTTAAATTAGAATTACTAATCCACGATTATCTTAGTGGAAGAGATTATAATTATTTAAGCACTAGAATCTCGAATTCAACTGGGTGTGAGTGTATAAAATATTTTTTTTAGAGAAATAAAACTAATCACAAATAATTATATTAAAAAAATTTAAATTACAATTAACTAATCACAAATAATTTTTTTTAAAATTAGAATTTTCTGGGGAAAAAGTTGATGATGGGTGCAAGTGTGAAGTGAAAGAATGAGCCGCCTTTGAAATTAACGTGCATGCATGTGGAGCCAATAATGGAGGGTGGTGGGTCACTGGGACGCCAAGTAACAGGCGAACCATCACGCGTGCTTTCAAAAATATTCCTTATGAAAAAAACAACTTTAATATTATATGGGCATTAATTTTCAGCTTATTTTTGACTCTAAATAAACACATCCAACCTGAAATTTACACTTAACCACATGGTATGGTAAAAAATTTACCTATCATGATAAAAAAAGAATAACCTAACTAGTATGATAGAAAAACAATTATCCTTACTTCTATCACAATATTTAGAACAAATTTAGTTAACTAACACGAGTTTTTTGTTGTGGTAGAAAATGTTTTCATTTAACATTTCAAGACACCATAGTACAAAAAGGTTAAAAGTATTGATCCCATAATAAATTTATAATTAATTAACTATCCACATCTATTGTAATAGAAAAGGAGCAAAACTCCTTGAGGCAACCTACAATAATAGAAAACAAAAATGAACATGCACAATTATAACTTAGATAAAAGATATATAGAAGCAATAAATAAAGATACACACTCATGCCTTCAATCAAATCCCTTCAACTTGGGGCTTAAGACTAAAAGTAATACAATTCAATGTAGAAATAAATATCAATTAAACAAATAAGATGTCTAAATTATGTGGCTTAAGTTATGGTAGCAGGCTTCTTCCTTTAAGGCAAAACTTCTTATAAAGTTGGCAATCCTTGAGTTTGTTCTCTTCCTTGAGCTCCGCTATTGGTTTCTATAACAATTAAGAAAGGAGTGAGACAATGTCTCAATAATCTCTTAAAAAATATGATGTATCCACAGCCAGTGCATGACCCAGTTCAGTGGGTTTTCACAAACGTTTTACTTCACCCTAATGATCATCATAAAGAAATTCTAAGTATATATAAATTCAATGCAGCAATTTGCACTAACTAGCATGCTTGAAAAGGTTTTATCTAATACATAACTATTTTACAGGTACTACAAGTATGCTAGAAAAGTTTTATTCATGTAACACAAGAATTTAAATAAAAAATGTGAGAATCCATCAATGTTATCCAATAAATTCAAGTATATACTATCCATAGAACATCAATGGTATCAAACCAATATTACAATAAAAAAGAATAAACCATTTGAAGGACAATATTAAGATTAAAAGTCAATTTTATTTTGTATTAAATTACATTCTTCCTTATTTCCTCAAGTTGAAGCTTCAAGTGAAAGGAGCTGATGCTTGGCCAAAAGCTCTGTTAATTCATATCAAGCCTTAGCTTTTCCCTTCAACTAAAAAGGGTGCCTAAAATGATACCGAGCTTATCCCAACCCTAGTCAAAGGAATTTGGTAGCTTAGGCACATAATAAGGTCATTCATGTGCGTCACATAAGAGCAAATGTGTGATTAGGATCCTATCTTATTTTTTCTATTTTGTCCCACGACTTGCAGCCACCTTATGAGCATAACAATTCCAATCTATTTTAGAGTTAATTATAATTTCATTTATCACATAATTATTTAGTAATATTTAATGAACGTGAACCATTATCTATAACAGTTATATTTGAGTTTTTACATCAGAATCAAACTTTACACCTTGCATCATATTTTTACCATGATCACAATTAGATTATACAGTCAATCAAAATTAATTAGCGTCTATCCAATTTTAAATTTTCATACAAGCAATATTGCATTTCTAAGCATTTAACTGTGCAACATAAATTCTCAATTTCTTTTTATTCTTCACTGGGCTAAATTTTTGCAAAACATTATAATAGACACTTTTGATTAGATTCAATATTATATAAGTATTATAAATTTCATAGTTACCTACTATATATAAAATAGCTTAAAAAAAAGTTAATTAGGCTTGAGTTCACTCAAAAAACTTGAGATCTCCTATAAGAGATCTTTCAACTAACTCAAATGTTAATGCAAAAATGAAGGAGTCACTTAGGAAACTACTAACACCTCTATAAATAATAATTTAAAGAATTATAGCTACATAAAATTTATATTTAATTATTTATTACTCTCAAGTTATGCCAAAGTATTCATGAAAGCGATATTTAATTTTAGAACCACTCTCGTTAAACTCTATTCATTTTATTTTATCTACGTTTAACCTTAGAGCTTCTCAAAGATTTACCAAAGCACTATAAATTATATTAATAATTACTTTTTAGCTTTAAAGTGCTTGTGAGCATGTTTTATAAGTTCTAAACATCTAATAAATAAAATTTTCATCCCAACATAATTAAATAAATTCCAAGTAGTTATAATTTATTCCTTAAATTTATCTTTAATTTATAAATTACTCTAGAGAAGTCTAACAATAATCTCTACAGCTTTTAGAATTATTAAAAGTTATCTAGAATTCCTTAAAATTATTTTCTATCATCCTAAAATAATCCCAGAGTCACCACTCAACATTTTTATCCAGTCTCTAGAATATCTTTCTAATTTTAAATCTACATAAATCTAGTAAGATTAGGTAGAACAAAAAATTATAGGACATTTAACTGATATTCGAAAGCTTCAACCCACCCTTAAAATATCTAAATGTTTTCTACAATTTTCCTCGCCTGCGACTCGCTCTCTCTTTCCTCAGTTGTTCTCAGCCGCTGCGCGAGAGCTGGGGACGCTTGCTGAAGGCTCAGGGTGTATAACATACCCTTGTATCACCAAACCCCAAGCCAATGGTGGGCACGGCCCACCCTTGGTTTCAACATATACCTTTTTATTTTTAAATTATTTTTTCCCTTTTAATTTGCTCATTTTCTTGTCTTCTTTCTTTTTTCTCTTCTTCCTTATTTTATCTTTTCTCTCCTCTTTATTTTCACGTCATTTATGTGTGTGTATATAACTCTGTTATTTTCTCTCCATGCCTTTGTTAGATACATTGAATCCTGTATTATAATTTATCTACTATTAATCAAGGTTCTTTAAAAAAAATCAAAAATCAAATCTTAAATATGCTCAATATAATTTAAATAATGTTCAAATAAGTATAATCTTTTAAATAAAAAATTACCTTATAAATTTCTCCTTCCTCAAAAACATGTTTTGAAATTAAATCTTTAATATTTATCTCACTTTGAGTAAATTCTCCTTACTCAAATAATTACATGATAAATTCAAATTATCACAAAATAATTTCTTCCTAATATTAATTAAGTCTTAAAATTTAGGATGTCATGATTTTTTCTTAAACTCAAAATAATTCCAAGGGACTTCTTGGGGAGGGAAGATGTCAGACTAGATATAAGTGCCATGACAGAAATCCGAATGTAATCAATGCATGGTTTCAAAAATGTTCCTTATAAAAGAATTCTTTAAATTACCTACTATCATACCTTTGATATTTTAAAGTGCACTATTTTCTATGACATTTAATTGAGGATAAGAATATCAAGAAAAAAAATGCACATTACATAGAATTTAGCATATCATTGACTTGTTTGTATTTTAAAATTATTACTCCCTTCGATTGTCTTAACCACTTTCTAGAAGAAATTTATGACTTTCATAAATCACTTTCCATAAAAATACAGATTATTAATTATTTTCTTTTAATTTTAATATTTTGATCATTTTCAATGACTAGAAAATAAAAAAAAATTACTCTCTTTATTTTAAATTATAAAACACTTTTAAGAGAGATTTTACTTTTTAAAATATAAGATATTTTTATAAAAATAAAGTTTCATTAATAATATCTTTTTAAGATCACAATTCTCATTATATTCTCTTTGTAATATTTTTTAATAAATAAAGTATTAATTGACAATATCCACATTTTAAAACTTTCACTCTACCTAAGAGAATCCAAAATTATTAATGACAAGATAAAAAGTTAAAAGTCAATAAATGTTCCAATAAATGTGCAACTTTCCAAAGCATTTATTGTGTCGTCAATGAATCACATAAATTTTCTCATATCTTTAGCACCTTTAAATTAATGGCACTAATTAAGAAGGATTTGTTTGCTAGCAAGCTTGTGAATCTACTCTTAGCAACACAATGCAAGCAAAACGGTATTTATATCCCTAACTAAATGAATTCTCTCTCCCAATTTACATCCATCCTTCCCCCCAATTCCACCTTCCTGTGGAAATGGAAATCTCTCTGCAACTTTCAGCCATTCTCTTCCTCATCCTTACATCCTTTGTTTGCCTTCTCTTTCTCCGTCAACTCCGTAGAAAACTCCCATACCCACCCAGTCCCCATGGCCTACCCGTAATTGGAAACATGTTAATGTTACACCAACTCACCCACAGAGGCCTGGCCCGGCTCGCCAAAAAGTATGGTGGGCTTTTTCATCTTCGCATGGGCATCGTTCACATTGTAGTGGTGTCATCAGCTGACATGGCCCATGAGGTCCTTCAAGCACAAGACAACGTATTTTCAAACCGGCCTGCCAGCTTGGCAATTTCCTACCTCACCTATGGTCGGGCCGACATGGCATTCGCCAACTACGGCCCGTTTTGGAGACAGATGCGTAAAATCTGCACGATGAAACTGTTCAGCCGAAACCGGACTGAGACATGGGCTTCTGTGAGGGAAGAAGTAGATAGAACAGTTCAAAACATCATGGAAAAAACCGGTTCACCCATCAACTTGGGTGATTTGGTTTTCGATCTAACAAGGAGTATTACCTTTAAGGCTGCGTTTGGGACAAGTTTAAATGAAGAACAAGAGGAGTTCATGAAGATCTTGCAAGAGTTTTCAAAGCTGTTTGGAGCGTTTAACATCGGAGATTTTATTCCATGGTTGGGCTGGCTTCATTCTCGACAGTTTAAGAAAAGAATGGTCGAAGCAAGGAATGCACTTGATGTTTTTATTGATAAAATCATTGATGAACACGTGGCAAAGAGAAACAACAGCGAGGAGAGAGATTATAATGACAGTGAACGAGTTACGGATATGGTTGATGAACTAATGGCTTTTCTCAATGAAGGAGGTGGTGGTGATAATACTGAATTGAAAAATTCACACCAACCCACACTTAAGTTGACTAGAGATAATATTAAAGCTCTAATCATGGTAAGTGCCTAAATCCAATGCTTGGTGCTTTTATTCAGATTATAAAGCATGTTTACTTTTTGTCTCAACTTCCGCGTTTAGAACATAACAGATATAAATAATAACAAATAATATAATAATATATAATAAATCTTAAATATTTTTTCTTTTTTCTAATCTCAAATATTCATGGAGCATAGGACGTCATGTTCGGCGGGACAGAGACTGTGGCATCAGCTATAGAATGGGCCATAGCAGAGCTCCTGAAAAGCCCAATGGACCTCCAAAAGGTCCAACAAGAGTTGGAAGACGTTGTGGGCCCGGATCGAAGATTCAAGGAAACTGATCTTGACAAATTGACTTACCTCACATGCGTTATCAAAGAGACGTTGCGGCTCCACCCGCCAATACCACTCCTCCTCCACCAGGCTGCCGAAGACGCCGTCGTCGCGGGTTACTTCATCCCGGCGAACTCCCGAGTATGGATCAACGCATGGGCAATCGGCCGCGATGAGAGAGCATGGGACGAGCCTGAGATGTTCAAGCCATGGAGGTTCCTGAACGACGAGTCGCCCGATTTCAGAGGAAGCAACTTCGAGTTCATTCCATTCGGGTCCGGTCGAAGGTCGTGCCCAGGTATGCAACTCGGGTTGTATGCTCTGGAGATGACGGTGGCGGAGTTGCTTCATTGTTTCGAGTGGGAGTTAGGGAAGGGGATGAAGCCGAGCGAGGTTGACATGAGTGATGTGATTGGGCTCACTGCTCCTAAAGCGGTTCGACTCGTTGCTGTACCCAGTTATCGACTTAATGTTCCGCTGAAAGATGAGTGAGGAGAGTTAATTTTGTTATTGTGTTACAGTGAAGCTAAGTCTTAAGACGATGTGCTTTGGTGCTTAATTAAACTTTTTTGGGATAAATACTGAAAACTTCATTCCAACAGAGCAAAATATACACACAGAAGAAAACGTAGAACGTCACAGCAAGGAAAAAACTGAACAGCAAACTAAACAATAACAATCGATCACCGTACTCCATCCTCCAAGAAAGATGGTTTATGATCAAAGATGCAAAAATCATTAACTAAAGTGTGACCAAACTCTGCAAGATGATCAGCATGAGAATTAAATTCCCGATACATGAAATTGATGGAACCATTCCAATCCCTTCTTATTAAACTCACAGCCTGTACAAGAATGTCCTGATAGGGATGAGGTTGCTGGTGAGGTCTTGTGATGAGATTTATAGCTTCAGCACAATCACAAAAAACTTCTATATTTTTCAAATTGTGGAACCAACATAATTCAAGCCTTTAACAATTCCTAAGACTTCCGTTATAGCTGACGGGTAAACTTTAATGGTTATTGGTCTGTTCTATTTGCCACATTTTAGGGTGCCTCAGTTTTTATGCTTGACAGCTTGAGAATGCTTTTACGATGGGCTGAATAATGACTGGATAATTTTTTTCGAAATTTCAATTGTGATTTGTAACCGTATTCAGCCATCTCCCTTTGGTGCACACAATTCCAATGATGAAGAGCTTTTGAAAAAGTATATTTCTTTTTCAAAGCAAGAAAACTAAATCTTACAATCTTTAACATCAGCTTCAAGCTAGGGATAAATGATCCTTTCTTCCGTTTTTAAGTGAGGAATAAGATTTTTAAAACATGATGCACGATAAGATTACACTATCAGATACGCCATAGAATTTACCCACAATTTAATTAAATTTATTTTTCGCAATAGCAAAGGTTCAAATCTCTTAATCTTTTAATGAATAAAAAATGTGTAAAATTGATGGTTATAGTATGGCGCAGAAGTACTTAGAGATGTCATATAGGATTTAAATTCTTTGATGTTAAAAAACATCAAATATATATTTCCATGTCTAAAGTCAGTGCTTATATCATAACAATGTACTAACAACAAGATTCCAAATGATGAAAGTATTAACGTTTCATCATCTGCTGTGCATGCTTAGAAAAATTACGATCAATCACTCTATTAAAACAATTCATAATCAATAAAAAATACAACTCTCATGTTTGAAAATACAAAAAGCGATACCATTAAATAAGAAAAAGATATGATAAATTTTGTTTATTTATTATTAACATTGAAAACATATTTTGCACAACCAAATTGGGGTGATGCGATATGTATATTGATGTCTCTGTTTTGGTTTTTTTTGCACAATTTTGTTAACCATCGACTTAAAGAGGAGGAAAAAATGGAATGACACATTCACAAAGCTGCTTTTTGCTAACTTGATTAGAGGGACAAGTATATTGAAGTCTCTTTGTTTTGGTTCTTTTGCACATTTCTGGGAATCCGCCACTCGACTTCCTCTTCACCGTTTCCTTCTCTTTAGCCACAGTCACCAATAACCTCCCTATTTCATAGCCCACTCTCTCCGCACTAATCTGTGTTGCACGCACTCGTCCGAATATTATTTTATATATTGTTTAAGCACAAAGGTAAAAATTATTAATATTAATAGCAATTTAAAACGATTGGAATTGGGCCCACAAATAATGCCTCCATTACCTTTCCCTCAAGCTCAAGCATCATGCAGTCTCACACAGTCCTTTGTTTTGTGCTTGCATGTGACTTCACTCCCACTTCCCCTTTTACTGTCGGCGCTTTCTTCACAATCCTCACCTTTCTTTCTTCTTCTTATTCTGATTATTAATATCCTTATTTATAAAATCATATATTTAAGAAAGGGTTAAACATAATGAGTATCTATTTCAAAATTTAAAGTATTAACTGTTTGATTAAAAAAAAGATACGACTGTTTTTCTGAAGATTTCAGTCTCTGACTGTCTCCCTTGGTTTTCAAGTCTCGACCCGTGAGAGACTCTGCTACTATAAATGAAACGCACTTTCATTTCAGTTTCAACACGCAGCATTTCATCAAACATAGAGTGCTCGGCAATGAAACTCCTCAAATTCCATGGCCTCGCTCTGTTCACCGTCTTCCTTACTTTGTTGCCCGATCTTGGGATCGCTCATGATTACAGAGAAGCATTGTCGAAGGCGATCCTGTTCTTCGAGGGCCAACGATCGGGGTATCTGCCGGACGACCAGAGAATGAAATGGAGAGACCATTCAGGCCTGAGCGACGGGTGGACTTACAACACAGACCTCACCGGCGGCTACTACGACGCTGGCGACAACGTGAAGTTTGGGTTCCCCATGGCGTTCACTGCCACAATGCTGGCCTGGAGCGTCGTCGAATTCGGAGACGACATGCCTCCCGAGGAGCTTCGGAATTGCCTCGTTGCTATACGTTGGGCCACCGATTACTTGCTCAAGGCCGTGTCTCAGCCCGATCGGATTTTCGTTCAGGTAAACTTATTCCTCTTCCTATCGTCAACAACAGTCTCTTCAACGTAACTACAATTCAGAATGAATAAATTTTACGCATATTGTGTATCAGTTTTTGGCCCCCGTGTGTTTTCATATATTTTGTTGATGTCTTTTGTGAAATTAGAACAGTTCAGCAATCCACCATGCATTGAAGATATTGTAATATAAACTTTTTATATATAATCAATCCCATCCCAGTGCCCTGTGGTTGAGGTTGAACAGATTGATGAGATGGTAGGTGGGGTTAGTTTGGAGAATTGAAAGGGTGGGCATGATCTTGTGTTGTGTGCTTTATCAGTCGTGAATGGGTAGCGAGAATGTAGTTACGTGGTCACATTAGTCCTCGCTTTTTTCTTCTGTTTTCACCCTTTCGCTTCCTTGTAACATTCAATTTACTTCCTCTTTATACTAAATAAATCAAATTTACTTGCACCTTTTCACCTTGCTCATATATAAATCCTTGGCGTGCAATAAAAAAATTGATGATATATTAAGATCTGAAATTCTCTCATGCAAAATCATTTCATATTGCACAGCTGATTGGGCCACTTTATTTTCCGTCAATATTGATCAATTTTACATGAGTAGGAAGGCATCCAGTTCTCTATAATTTTTTTTATATGTGTCTTTTTAATTTTAAATCCATCCAGATACAAAACGTTTTAAATTTTTAATGTACTATTGAATTTTACTAATTTATTTTTTAGTTAGTAACTGAATTATTTTTATTATATCATTTGTTTGTTCTAAAAATAAAAATTCTAATAAAAAAAGAATATATAATATGCGCGGCGAAGAATCTAGACTAGAGATCAAAGGATTGTGAGTTAAGATTCTTCTTTTGGAATAAGATGCTTCACCCACGCGCCGACTGTGAACGTGCATTAACAACACTTTAAGTATGATTAATTGATGGATAAATTTAATTGATCGATTATTGACCCGTATTATATGAACCTGATTAAATTTTGAAGGTGGGTGATCCAAGCTCAGACCACAACTGCTGGGAGAGGCCAGAGGACATGGACACGGACAGGACGGTTTATGCCATCGATGCGCCAAATCCAGCCTCTGACATCGCCGGCGAAACGGCGGCGGCGCTGGCAGCTTCGTCCATGGTGTTCCGATCGTCGGACCCTGGATATTCCGAGACATTGCTGAGAAATGCGATCAAGGCCTTTCAGTATGCTGATAACTACAGAGGTGCTTACACTGACAACGATCACGTTAGGGACGGTGCGTGCCCTTATTACTGCAACTTTGGTGGCTATCAGGTAAATCAGCTGAAAGAATAAAATAATTATAAGTATTTTTCTTATATTTAAAAAATTATCATGGGAAAAATAGGTGAAAAATTAAGAAATGAAGACGATACAGGACGAGCTGTTATGGGGAGCGGCGTGGATAAGGAGGGCCACAGGGGACGATGATTTCTTAAATTACATTCAATACAATGCCAAAACGTTCGGTGCTGATGATAACATCAATGAGTTTGGCTGGGAAAACAAGCATGCTGGCCTCAACGTTCTTGTCTCCCAGGTACGTAACTTTATTTAACACATTAAAATGTTTTACTTGTCCCCCAAAACAAAACAAAACAAATTAGTTTTTGGACTAAATCAGTCATATTAAAGTCAAATAGTGTATACTCTTCTCACTACTTTCCCGTACATACACGTCTAGTATCATGGTTGTATCATTATTTACATGACAAAATCTAATAATATGATTTAAATACCAAAACTTCTATAATGGGTAAAGTATTTTCATAAAATTATTAATAAAAATTTGTTCAATTGGTAAAGATTAGCTCATAATTTATAAGGTCATGTGATCAAATTTCTTATCAATAATAAGATGATCTTGTTGATGGGCGATATAGATAAATATAAATAGCTCTAATTACCGGGATCCAACTTATGTAACGAAAAAAATTTTCATGAAACCAAGGGAGAAAAGTTACCATAGCAAAGACCTTTAAAATATACTTGCATTGATTTTCAGGAAGTGGTAGAAGGAAACTTGTACTCTCTACAATCCTACAGGGACTCAGCAGAGAGCTTCGTATGCACACTGGTACCCCAATCACCAACGTCACAGATCCAATACACTCCTGGAGGCCTCATTTACAGACCCGGAGGCAGCAATCTACAACACGCCACCTCTCTCTCTTTCCTTCAACTTGTCTACGCCAAGTATCTCTCTCGCTCCTCCCAAACCCTCACTTGTGGCACCCTCTCCAACATCACTCCTCAAACCCTTCGTCACATCGCCAAGAGACAAGTTGACTACATCTTAGGGGACAACCCCATGGGACTCTCCTACATGGTCGGATACGGTGACCATTACCCTCAGAGGATTCACCATCGTGGCTCTTCCCTGCCTTCCACTAAGGACCATCCTCAGTTCATTGCATGCAAGGAAGGCTCTGTCTATTTCAATTCTTCTAACCCTAACCCTAATCTTCTTGTGGGAGCCGTTGTTGGAGGGCCAGAGGACGATGATGAGTACGAGGATGATCGAGCCAATTTCAGAAAATCTGAGCCCACCACGTATATTAATGCTCCTTTTGTTGGGGTTTTAGCCTACTTTGCTGCTCATCCTAACCCTTGATTACTCGTGGAACAAGTATTTTTTAGGTATTTACTGTCAGGTTCTTCACAAAACGTCACCTGCCATGTTGATATTTGTGTTCAACTTTTTCAATACACGTTATATATTTTTAATTTAATGAAGAACTTGAATAAATACTTAAAGAACTTTACTTAAGTTTTGTCTATATATATTTGAGGTTTTGTAAATAAAAGGAGATGCTGGCGCTGTACACAGTAAACATGTCTCTCGTCTTGAGAAAAGGCAAGAGGGAAGAGGCTTGCTTGTGTTGGATATCTGTATTTATATATATAGAATTTGAGGAGTTGTTTTTGGTTTCGAAGTTGCGTCATTAATTATATTCAAGCTGAAGGGAAGATTAGTTCGAGGTGTTTGAGTTCTCGATTTTGGCAATATAAGGGGGGAAACTGAGATTGTGCATGCGTTGTCAGCCTGTTAATTACAATAAATTATATTAATGATTATGATGCTTTTTCTCCTTTTAATTTGTTGCTTCTAATTACTTTATCAAAATTAAGGAAAGGTAATTAGATTGCTGATATTGTCTCAAAATAAAAGAAATTTTTAACTTACCCTTAATAAATACATCATCTTTAAAAGCATTTTTCTCTCATGCAACTTTTTACTTTCTATTCATCTAAAAGTGTGAAAGGTAAAATTAAAAGAATCATCAATAACTCACTTTTTAATGCAAAGTATTCCCTCAATCTCTATATATAAAATATTGTTAATTGAATTTTATATATCAATAAAAATTTTTATATAATTGAACTCACATAAAAACACAATGATCTTTCAGTATTATCCATGATAATATCATAATTAATATTATGATGGTGATAGGGAAAATATTTATTTAATGATTTATTTCATTTTTCAAGATAAGGATAAAATTGTTTAATTACTCAAAATTATTGCCACCTCTTATATTTAGGGACAAAATAAGCTTCAGAAAAACACTTTATAGATAGGGATGTAGGGAGTAACTTATAAAATGACCATAAATTCCTTATAAAAAGTGACTTATATATAGGATCGGAAGGAGTATTATAATGTGTGGGTGTCAACTAACTCATACATTCTATATATATATATATATATATATATCTCATAATATTTAAGTAGTAGTTTTGCAACGCTCTCAATCATTTACTTTACTAAAATATTAATTTTAATTTTCTCATTTGTTAATGATATTAATTGTTATTACAACATGTCACTAACGAACAGGAATCTACGTACCTTTATCATATAAAGATCCATCTAGACTATAACTGTTACAAGAAGTTGGTGATGACGTTTGATGAAATCCAAGAAGCTGAAAGAATGTGACACACAGAAGACAAAGAGTCTTCGATTATATCATCAATTGTATGTGTAACGCACAGGAAAGTTGAACACTAACAACTATATACTAAATCATAGTGACCTGATGGATCACCACATAATTTTATATACTAAATCAATCATTTAGATTTAACAAAGATAAGAGGATTCAACTCCATATCTTACCCCAAAAACCTTAGGATAGTAAGTTTATAGTTTTTTTCACTTATATATGCCTCTTCTTTAATCTAATTCTGTGTGTGTGTGTGTGTTTTTTTTAATACATGATGCATGTAAGTGAACATTATTGATATTTGTCAAATTATTGATCACTCATGATAACACAATCATGAGTGATCAAGGGTTATGACATATAAATAAAATTATTTGTCAGATTTGATATTTTATATTGATATTGATAACATTATTGGTTCATATATATAAAAATTTAATAAAAGATGGACGTAAAGAAAAAATAACTACTAAGGCATTTTTAATTATTTCACACATTTTAAAAAAAGTTAATTTTTTTAATATCATAAAAAAATGAAATGCACATTCATGTTTATTCTTGACTTTAAATAATTATATAACTACACCAGATACTTTTATGTTAATCAAGAAAAAATAAAATTAAAAAAATACTTTATTTATTACAAAATATCCTACATTTATTATTTAAAAAAGAAGAAGAAAATATAACTACCATATTTTTTATTCCTTTAAATTATAATAGAAGATCTCATTTGAATGAATGGTAAGATGAGAAATAAAGTTATAGATGAGGTTGGTCAATCTATATATATAAACCAAATTTTTCCCCTGAGGGCTCAGGCAATCATAATATTCCTTTTGTTTTCTTGATTTTGATATCAAATTCAAAGACCGAATATGTTCTTACTTGTAGTTATGGTAAGTGTTGAGAAAAAAAAAAGAGGAGTAGAATAATGATCAAAACCTTCCCCTAATCAACTCCAATGATGATTACAAATAATATAATGTTCCCTCATTTGAGGATTATAGATCAAATCAATTCATTTAAGGTGATAAATAAATCCCAAACGTGGAACTATGACTATGAAGTGAGGACCATATTAACCTTCATATCTTAAGTAGGATTAAATCCCCTCAAACAAATGCCTAACTATTATATAATCATAATTTTAAAATATTAGTTGCTGTTATTATTAGTTGGTTACTTATAATTGTTAGAGAGATGTGGCCATTAGGTATTATTGATTCTCTATGTGTTAGTCTTATATAAAAAACCCTTACAATTGAATTATAAAGGAGCAATGGCAGATTAATAAAACTTTCAGATTATTCAATATTTCTTATCTCTTTTTTCTAATCTCTCCCAACCCCTTCTTTCCCTGATATATTTGTTCGTCTCTCAATCTATCTTCTTCCCTATAATCCTCTACCTTTTGAAATTACAAATCTACAATAGTGGTAATAGGGCAGCTATCCTTGGCCTCTTATTCTTTCACCTCACACCAAATAGTATGGTGCTTATTATTTTCATTCAGCATCAATAGTGACTAATGATAATGCACAAGTGATAGGGAACAAAGAATAGTAGCTTCTAAGAGTTTAATACTCTCTTTTAAATATTTCAACATAATTTTCCTCAAATTATTGTGCATGACCTTTGAGGGCAAAAGTCTCTCGAGGGGGGTATTATTATATAATCATAATATTAAAATATTAGTTGCTGTCATTGTTAGTTAGTTAGTTATAATTGTTAGGATATAGCCGTTAGGTATTATTGATTCTCTATGTGTTAGTCTCCAATAAAAACCCTTGCAATTGAATTGTATAGGAGTAATGACAAATCAATGAAACTTCTATATTATTTAGTATTTCTTACCTCTTTTCTTTAATCTCTCTTAACCCCTTCTTTCCCTAATTTATCCATTCTTCTCTCAATCTATCTTGTTCCCTATAATCCTCTACCTTCTAAAATTACAAATCTGTAATGCTAACCCTTATTCTTTTATATAGACTTAGGCTAGCAACTAACCATCATTAACTAACTAAATTTCCAACACCCCCTCAAATTGACATTTCTTTAACTTTAAGTTCTCAACTTGTCAACAAGGAGGAGACAACAACTTGTTGAAATATTAACAATATAACTTTGATCAACTACATTGAAATTACTCACAAATTTTGATCAATTAGACCACAACTTCAATAATGCAATCATCATCACTTCACTTGCTTGGACTTTTGTTTAGCTTGAATCATTAGGAGTCTTTGCCACAATTCAACACCTCAATCTTTTGAACTTGTTTGTTGAAGACACTTGTGCATTGGCCACATTTGTAGGGGCTTCCTTTAGTCCATAAGAGGCCACCAATAGTAAGATCATTTATGCACTTTTTCACAAGAATTACAATAATGGTCATTTGACTTTTCTGTGTAACATCCTTAATTTTAAATTAGATTAATTAAGCTCAAATAGACTAATTAAATGTATTAGTGAGGTGTGTGGTTAGAGAGGCCTAACGGGTATGTTTGGTCTCAATTTTAGTTCTAAATGCAGGTCCAAAGGAGAATTGAGTCACCCGAGAATGGAAGAGGAAGAATTTTTAAAGAAAGTGATTCTGTGCCACGCACTGTGGCTTGTGGATGGGCCACCGTGGTGCATAAATGACAACATGCCTGGAAGAGGCTCTCTGTGCCATAAGCTACAATGCATTGTACATCCGCTGCGGCACATGATCATTTTTTTACTAAAATAAGTCGCGAATTTGATACATTAGAGAAGAGAAGAAATAAAAAAATGAAAGAGTAGTGAGAGAGCAGTGTTAGGGCTTAAGAAAATTAAGTATTGGGAGTATTTTGAAGCTTCTAAATATCAAAGGTAAGCTTCCTTACTTAAATCTTCCTCTTTTCTTCCATTTTCTTAATGGTAGAAGTTAGGATTTAATTGATAATGGTGATTTTTGATTCATAAAAGTTATAGGTTTGAATCCATTGACTTAAAAAGAGTTAATGGGAGTAGATTAAACTAAGTAAACTTGGTATTTATGGTTTTATGATGATTGGTAATTGGAGGATATTAAATGTTCGAAATTCTCATAAATATGGTGGTTGGGAACAATGTGATTTCATTAATAACCATTTAAGAGTTCAATGTTATTAATAAGGGTTAAAGGAAACCAAGAAGCCTGATAGCTACCTTTATTTGAGTTAAGAATAAATCTTGAGAATTAAAAAATGATGAAGTATTAGTAGAAAATAGCTCAAATAGGAATATTGATATTTTATATGGTAAATGCTTGTAGAGTAACTACCAATGGTACCATACAAGCTTCTTGAAAGCTTTGGGAGTGAGTAATTAAGGGATGAAACCTTTAACCTCTTAAAGGTTTAAGGTAATCGGGAGAATTCTATCTTATACTTTTGTGTGTTTATTAGTTTATAGATTTATGATTGATCATTGAAATGTGTAAATTAAAAAAAAATACAAGTGTGGCTTGATTTGTTAGAAAATCCACTAGATCAAATTTGTGAGTTTTATGCCTCGTGATGTAAAATTTCTTTGAGAACATTATCGGTGGATTTTTCATATTATATTTATTGGGAGTTCAATGATTTTGCAAATTGAGAGGTAACATGAATCTTTGTTTATGAAAAGTTTAATGATGTTTAAAATAGTTGAGTTCAATGATTTTAAAAGTGTAAAGTACAATGATTATGAAAATAGAGTTCAATGATTTATTTGATTTGGAGTTACATGAAAATGTGTTTAAAAAGTCCAATGACTTATGTAATGATGAAGTTTAATGAAATTGATGATGTAAAGTTCTATGAATTGTATAAAATGTGAATTATGGCATGAATGTACATTGCATGATCTTGAGAGGTAGGAGTTCACTTAGGAGAAGGAGTAGATGATAAAAATTCACGTGGTAAGGCCCATCCATAAGATGGTTCAATGAGAGATTGTCCTACTAGTTCAACAAAGGATTCAATCTTAGCTAGCTATCCACAGGTTCAATAAGGAGGCTAGTTTAGGATGTATGACACCCTATAGCATGGTATTGAAACCCGGACTAGACCGGCCAAGTCAACCCGGAAACCAGTGA